TTACCACCTCACTGAACCTACCAAACCATGCTCGAGGAGACTGTTTGAGCCCATATATAGCCTTCCTTAGTCTGCACACCATACCATCCTCCCCCTAAGCAACAAACCCTGGAGGTTGCTCCATGTAGACCTCCTCGAGTAAGTCACCATGCAAAAAGGCATTCTTGATATCAAGCTGATATAGCGGCCAAGCATATATAGCTGCAAGAGAGATAACAACACGAACCGACCCTATCTTAGAAACTGGTGAGAAGGTCTCTGTGTAATCAATACCATAGGTTTGGGAGTACCCTTTTGCAACCAATCGCGCTTTCAGGCGTTCAACACTACCATCAGGCAGATACTTAACTGTATACACCCATTTACAACCAACAGCTTGCTTCCCAGGAGGAAGAACAGTGAGGTCCCAAGTATGATTATGATGAAGGGTTGAAAGTTCTTCTTCCATCGCACGGCACCACCCTGGAGAGGCAAGGGCTTGCTAGACATCTTTAGGGACAACTACTGATGATAACAAGGTGACAAACTGGCGATGGGATGCGGAAAGGTGTGTAAGTGAAACATAAGTAGAAATAGGATGAAGGGTGCAAGTGCGTTTACCCTTCCGCAAGGTAATGGGGAGATCAAGCTCAGATGCGGGGTTCGGGTCTGGAGTCGGATCTGTTGACGGTGATGTAGCCGGAGGAGTAGCAGCTGGTACGCGTGGGCGATGTGTATACACTTGACGGATAGGTGGGCGTTCAACAGGTGGTGGCAATGGAGGCAAGGATTTGGTCACTGCTGGAACAAGGGGAAGAGGATCGGCAACGGGAAGTGGAAGAGGAGGAGGTGACGAGGAGGAAGAAGCATCACCGGACGCCAAAAAGAACAGAGTAGACTCAACGAAGGTGACATCAGCACACACAAAGGAGCATCGAGAACTAGGATGGTAACACTTATACCCTTTCTGGGTTTGAGAATAGCCAAGGAAGATGCACTTGATAGAACGGGCATCGAACTTGTCAATCCCGGGACCCAGATTATGGACGAAGCAGACACGCCCAAATACCCTAGGCGTAAGAGGAAACAGAGACAAGGCGGGAAACAAGATCGTAAATGGAGAACAACCATCAAGGATGGACTTGGGGATCCGATTAATCAGAAAGCAAGAAGTAAGCATCGCATCACTTCAAAAGGGTTTGGGAACATTCATGTGATGCATGAGGGATCGTGCTATTTCCAAGAGATGGCGATTCTTTCTCTCAGCTACCCCATTTTGTTGTGGGGTGTAGGTACATGAGGTCTGATGTCTAATGCCGTGTTGGTCCAGGTATTCTTGAAATGATGAGGATAAATATTCACGGCCATTATCAGAACGGAAAACTTTAATGTAAACACCAAATTGATTACAAATCTCAGCATAAAATTTCTGAAAAATGGTAAACAATTCACTTCTTTCTTTCATTAGATAGAGCCACGTCATCCTTGAAAAGTCATCGACAAAAATGACAAAATATCTATATCCATTATATGACATCACTTTATAAGGACCCCAAACATCGGAGTGAATCAAAGAAAAAGGACTCGACACACGGTTATCAACCCTAGACCTAAAGGGAACACAATGGTGTTTCCCAAACTAACACGACTCACAAATCGGCAGTGACTGACGGAACCAAAGACTTCAAAACTTTTAGCGACGGATGACCAAATCGGCAGTGCCACTGGAGAGGAGAAAGAGATGACTGGAGAGCTGTTGAAGTTCTTCCACCACCGTCAAGATAATACAGTCCACCAGCCTCATGCCCTCTACCAATCTTCATCCCTGTCTTGAGATCCTGAAAAACACACATAGAAGGATAAAAAGTAATGGAGCAGTTAAGTGATTTGGTCAGTTTACTAATAGACATAAGATTAGAAGGCAATTTAGGAACATACAAAACTGAGGAGAGGGATACAGGGTCTAGGTCAACATTACCAACACCACAAATTGAGGATGTGAAACCATTAACAAGGGTGACAGATTGTGATGTTGAGCAATGAGATAGGGAAGAAAACACACCTGGAGTTTCAGTCATGTGATCGAAGGCTCCAGAGTCAATGATCCAGGGATTGGGTGTGGATGCCTAACAAGCCATACCTGAGTCGGCGAAAGTCGTCGTGTTCTGCTGTGATGTGGATTGCATAAACCTCTCATATTCACCATAGGGAACACTCACCATCTCCTTCACGGGACCATCTGTGGATGGAGGAGGTATCTGATCAGATGAACGGTTCTCCTGCCTAAAGCTGGAACTGGTGTCACTAGTCACGACATGATTGGCCCAGGTTGAGGGTGGACCATGTAGATCATAACAATAGTTAATGGTATGTCCATCCATACCACAATGAGTGCACCTCCTCGGGCCTGAGCCACGCCCTCTACCACGGGCTCCCCCTGAATCTCTGCCCCCAGTACAACCACCACCACGATTATAAGTAGATCCACCATTGCCACTTCGGCCATACGCCGGACCACTACTACCACCACGGCCAGACTAAGCTCCCCGAGCTCCACCTCTTGCACCACGGCCTCTCGACACAGCAAAGGCAGATCTATCTGAGATATTAGAGTTCTTAGTAGATCCGATAGAAGTCCTCCGGAGTCGAGCAAATACCTCTTCTAAAGAGGGAAGAGCTGATCCTCCCAGTATTTGAGCCCACATTGGTTCAAATTCAGATTTCAGTCCCACCAAAAATCGAGTCACATCAAGCTGTTCTCTCTGTTGTTGATGAATTTTGACATCAGAAGTGAGAGCGTGATAGACATTCAACTCATTACGTATGTTTCTCATACTGGCATAGTACTCCTCAAGACTCTGATTGCCTTGTTGCAGATTAAAGTACTCCTGATACAGCTGATACACTTTGGTTGTATTGTCCTGACCCGAATACA